ATAAATGCCGGGTGTTTGCGAGAAATCCGAACCCGGCTTTTCGCAGCGCAAAAATAAACTGTAGACATTGCGGGGAGCTCCACCTCAGTCAAAACGTAAAGCCCCAGCCGTTCGAGCAAGATGCCAAAATTTCAGCATTAACTGTTACCTTATTCAAAAGTCATACGTGATTTTATGGAGTGTTCAGTGGGAAAATGGGGCCTATTTTCTCCCGTGTTCGGTTTCTGGCGCGTCGTCCAGAAAATCGCTTATAACTTTGTAATAAGATAACGGTGCGGTGCTGAAACTCTGGCATCTTGCTCGAACAAGTTGGAGCTCCCCGCAACGTCTATAGTTTATTTTTGCGGTGCGAAAAACCGGGTTCTTATTTCTCCCAAACACCTGGTACATGCGTGCTTCCAATATGTCTGCAGAAAGTTTTTGTGTGAACATTGCGATCGTCAGGAAGAAACATGCCTCAGATATTGTCTGGACTCTGCACGCTGCCTTTTGTACGATGAAGATGTACGACGCAGCTTTAGTGTAGAATATAGACAATTGCAAGCATGGCGTCACGACTGGCGCCTATGCGTTCAAGCGCGTGAAGCGTGCGCTTGAGCGTAGCTTTGGCAAGCTTGCATTTGCACGGACTCGTCTGCACGAGCAGAGACATGGTGGCGGATGAAAACTACTTTTTCTTTTTCCCCACGGAAGCATGCTGCAGTCGATCGAGTTGTTCTTGAAGGCACTGGTATCATGTACTGGAAGGCTCTCGTTAAAAGATTGATGATGTTTGTCTGTTTGTTTTGTTTTTTACTGTATGGTTGTTCCATTTTCGTATCACTGTCGTGTATTGCCTACATTTGACTACACTTATGTTTGTATAAGTTTTGGCTCCGAATGAATCGCACTAACCCTTCCTGTCACAACCTCCGAAAGGAGGTTAGCAGTGGTTATACAAATAAATAAATGTAATAAAAATCGATTCTAGATGTCTCCGAAGATCGAATTCCTTACTAAACTATGTATGGTGTGTGGCAAGAAGAACATTCGGGCTGCGGATGACCAAAAACCGAAGGTGCGCGAATTTGAGTCGATCCATCCAAGCACAGATATGTAGTCACACCACAAGGAGCCAAGGAAGCGCCAGTCGGGGAAACAAGCTCGACGCCCAAGAAAGATTTGTGACATGATCGATGACATCGACTAAACAGGCGATTCCAGGTGAGCGCGCGAGACTCAGAGAAATGACTGCACCTGCCCAGTGCGATAATTTGTAAAAGGTTAATTTTTCTATACCGTCCCCACATTTTGTTTCATTGAAGCCTCATGTCCCGTTTTCGTAAAAAGGTGCACAGTTAAATAATAAAAAAAAAAAGAACGACTGAGATGTGTTTTATGTTACATACGCGGTTTTATTATAAAAAAAAAAAAAGAAAACTGAATATGTTACCTCCCATAGAGTATAATCTGAGTTCTTTGTGGTTACATGATATCCGACAATACATTTCGGTCGCATGGACTGCGTCCCCCTTTTTTGCGGTTTTCTGTTCTCTTTGGGTTCGGGAAAGCCAGCGGGTACGGAGAGAGTAACTAAATATTAATGCGACACGGAAACCTCCTCCACCTACGGGGGCGACCCGCGGTGCCGAAAACGCGCCGATATGTGAAGTCTTTGGTCCTGGGCTTACTACTGGTCAGAGCCGCTCAAAGCTTCTTTTTAGTCGAAGTACAAAATATACGTGGTCGTGAACCGCTTCAATTATCTATAAAAGTAGGTTTGTTCAGTATTTTAGATCGGAAAAGAAACAAATGCAGTTTAGAAAGTACGGAAACAAGAAATGACCCGTCAACATACCCGCCATCAAGCAGTGGAAAAAGCGGCGCATATATGGGTAGCGCGATCAGGCACCGAGGAGCAGAGAGCGTAGAAAGGTCCCGGATGTACGCAGCGGCGCTGCGTTCGAGGATCCGACCAGTTCCGAAGGCCTCCGGCGAGAAGGTTTGGCTAGCGGGTTGGCCGTTTGGCGGTATAGCAGCGCGAAGTGGCTCCCATTCTGAACTGATCTTTACCCCGTGTTAGCTGTCGTTTGTGGCCAATGAAGTGACACGCCAAATTAGTGTTTAATCGCGCAGCAAATGCAAATAAGCGAGCCGCCCTGGCTGCCCGCTGCATGCAGCCTATCCAGAACATGCTTTAGTGGCGCCCTCTCGAGCCGTCGACACGAAGTGCGGCAGCCGTGAGCGCTCGCTGAGCTCACTCCCCTCCTCTAGTTCACGGCCACTCAAGCGACCAAGGACGTCATGAAGGAGGTTATTTTTTTGCTTGTTTTTGTAATTTTAATTTACCGATAACTTTTAAAATAAAGCGAAATTCGAGAAAAGTTTCATTAAGTTACTACGTTCAGTGCGCTCAGGTTCGGTGCAAATTAAAAACCTGTAAAAAAAAGTCCTAGCAAAGCGATGGAGAACTCCGAAAAAAAAAAAAAATAGTTTGTACGCAGAGCTTTTCCCTCAACCTCGCGAACATCTGCTGACTATAGTATTAATCAAGAGAGCCTAATACCCGTGCCACACGGGCAACTTGAATGCCATTTACAACGAATGACATTTGTGTGATCGGCGAATCAGCTCGCTATCTGTCGCGCGTGGAATGCGCCACGCCCGGAGTGTCGTGCGCTGATTGGCCGTCCACTCAAATGTCATTCGTTGTAAATGGCATTCGAGTTGCCCGTGTGGCACGGGTAACTTATTAAAAGGAAGCTACGGATCTTCTTAAAAAAAAAAAAGAGTTAGAAGTGAATTTTAGAGTATTTTCACCCCGTGAATCCGAATACCCAAACCATTTGCTGCGTAAGTATTGTTAAACGCGAGAAAACGCGAAAGACAGTCGCTGTACGTGACGTCATCAACGGATCTTTTGGCTGCCCAAGGCTAGGGAGGCGGGGCTTCACCCTTTTTTTTTTAATTGCTCTTATCACTCTCCGGCGCGTTGCATTGAAACATAATTGTGCAAATATGTTATTCTAACGGCCAAGTAAACACAATTCAAGTTTTTTTTTTTTTTTTTTTTTTTTTTTTTTTTATGCAGAACTGTTCTATCTTCCCTTTGCAGAATGCATTTTTGGGGCTGGATTTCAAGCATAGAACGTCACGAAAAGTTGTTACGGAAACATGATAACATGGATAAGTCACGTGACCTCTATTTAGAGTCAAGTTTTCCCGCTAGGTTTCGATCAAAATCAATAATTTTTTTTTTTTTTTTTTTTTAATTTTACGGAATATTTTACTACGTGCCCGGAACTTGAATACGTGCTGATGCCACTTAGCGGTGGGAAGTGCAATATTTATCAGTTTATTGTTTCGATTGTTTCCGACTGACAGACTAAAGGAATTATTAAAAAGCATACGCGTTTGTTTTCATGTTATGTGAAACATTAAAAAAAAAAAAAATCTACCGCATAGATCTTTTCTTCTTCTTTATCTTGTGTGAATTAATTTGAAACTTTTGTCCGGAAGCCGGGCAACGCTGTTCAAAAACATCAACTCCGTAGAATTTTGACCAAAGTGCCTCCAACCAGTCGCCAAGTTGTTAATGTTTTTTTTTTTTTTTTTTTTTTTGTGGCAAACGAATGTAAGGCAACTCACCTTCCTGCTATCGTTCTCAGCAAAGCTATCGGAAGGAAACGATCGATTCAGCCTCTACTTCCTCAAGGCCAAATCTGACGCCGGTCTGTATTTGCTATCCTTTTTTCCCCCGTTGCACAAAACGTGTGCAAAAAAAAAAAAAAGAAAACAGAACAATCTTTTTCGCCGTTACGTCTCTTGCGAACTTTACTGAGATTTTACGGCGTACCCCCGAATTCACTTCTTTTTTTTTTTCTACGCGGGAACGTGAGCTTTCATAGCTCACGGTATAATGTCAACGCGGAAATGATTCACGAGCGGCCTAGCCGAGCGGTCACGAAAAAAAGAAAAAAAAAAATACGAGTTCACATTACACCATCAAGGCCCACCGGGGGAATGCATGGAGGAATCAGCGTCCACACACATGCTCTATCAAGGTCAACGCCTCGCGCTGTACCCAGGTACGGGCGGACGGCGCTCGCCACTCGAGTGGGCACTTGTGGACGCCGTCATTAACGTGACCATTAATACCGTCATTAACACGATCATTATCCTAGTCAATAACCTCGCCGGAGAGAAGTGCACCCAGAGAAGTGAGGCACGAACTGGCCGCGAGTACACCCGGTGGGGCGGAAGTAACCTTACGAAAGAAGAGCTTGCGTCACTGCGGATATGTTCCAAATGATTACAAGCACCGAACAACATGTAACGATCTATCAGCCGTTGCTCGTGCGCGGTGAAGACCAGCGCACGCGCGTTCCTACATTCCCACTGCAAAAAAAAAAAAAAAAAAAAAATGCCGAGAGATGCTACGCCGCGGCGGGCACCCCGGAGGCTAACGGACTGCACAATCCCAATTTAAAGCTCCCGACGGAAATTAGAAGCGCCTTGATCAATGTCGTCGAAGCGCGGGGAGTGAAGATACACATCGTGTCGCATACCCGCAGCGCGCGCGCGCGCGCGCACGCACACACACATACAACGTATACACGGCCCCGTGCTCTAACGATCTAAATTCCCACCCATAAAAAGGGAACCAATCGATAACCGGGGAAAGGCGGGAATGCCCCCCGCTACAGCGAAGCGGTAGCGCCGTACGTACGGTGTACGCGTTACCCACGCAACAAGCCATTCACGGACTCGGGCCGACATAAACATACGCATCTACCCAACCACGGAAACTTCGACGGAAAAACAAGGAACAACAACAACAACAACACAAGCGCCGAATGTAAACACACTGCGGACACCCGCCCACTCACGTAAACGAGGAGCGGGCCGCGGATACGCGAACTCGGCCGACACGGAATGTTCAATCATCGTTCGTCCGGCCGTTGGTCGGGCAAGATCGCTCGCTCGCACAGGCGCTACTATACGAAACGAAGTATATTTACCTGGGCTTTTGCGTTGGGTTCGCTGTTTACGGCGACGAGAGCGGCCAGTCGACCAGCCTTCGGGCGCGCTTTGTTGCCTTCCGAGCCGTCAACGCAGGTTCAATTGTCGCGAAACACATAGCACGGGCCCGCACGCACAGAAGCCAAGGTTATCCGTGTAGCAGCTTCTTCGGCTCGCGGGGATACAATCACATCTTCGGGAACTCGGACGCAGCAGTTGCTTGAAGCGTCCGGACTCCGACACTGGGAAAGGATGCGTGTGTCGCACTCATTTACGAGGAACACGGGCGGACAAGGCGGACCGTGCAAGCTGGTTGAAGGCGCGGTGACACAAACAGTAGAACAAGCGTATGTTTGGCCTCGAGTTCGTTCTTGCCTTCGCTCTCCTGGCTCGCGTACGTGACGTTACTGACGTCACCCGCTGCTTGAAAACAAACGCACGCACAGTTGAGAGCAGTGGGAAGAAAGCAGCCAGTTGACTAACTTCCGAATCTACCTACATAAACGTTTGATTACAGCGCCACCGTTCGATAACCTTGCGGCTGCTTTCTCAATCATAGTTGCGAAGTCTTGCCGCAATGAGCGAAAATCGTGGCGCGTCAATCGACTGGTGATAAAGCTGGACGAGAGATATGGGCCCGTCCTTTTTAGGTGGAGGGCTCCCAACTGAGCAGACCAGGTAACGTTGACACGGTTGCGCACTGATACGGCTGATGGGAGGTCAACGTTTTCAACCACGTGATGCATACAGGCACGTGATCTAAAATGCCATCTTTAGCCGCGCTAGATGGCTGACCAAAATTGTACTGGCTCTCGCAGCTTTTTATGGTATTGTGGCGCCATCTGCGGGAGTTTAATAAAACCATACTATGTGCGCGACTCGATTCTCGATTCAAGAGAGAGAGAGAGGTGGGATCACGGTGATAGTGGGATGGCGTAGAAGAAAGGAGAAAACCATCAACACCACCCCTCAAAAAAAAAAAAAAAGAAGCAAGTTTCGCGCATTGTTTCTACGCAGCGCGAAGTAGTTCTTACGAGATTTGGTTGTCTAAGGCAAAAGGAGATGCTTTAGCGTTTGGAACGTGTACGTCTTGATAAGATAACATAGTCACCTACATATGTCTTAATTATTTACATAAACGGGAAAGTTAGTAATGCTCCGCGAGGATCCGGACTTGTTTTACTTAGGTTCTTGAGGTGAAAACTGGTACAGAGGAGAAGGCTAGAAAACGGCTAAAGTGACGTCACGGCAGCAGGCTGACGTCCGCCGCGCAAGGCTTCTCGCGTAGCTTTTACGTCGTAGAAACGCGGGTTTTCGCACTATTTTTTTGTTTTTTAGCTAACATGAAAGCTTTGAACGCCGATCGATTAAAAAAAAAAACATGTTTTAGAACGCAGGAAACATGTTTTAGAACGCACGATAATTATTATAACCCACAGTTATTATGGTGCAATACGGTGCATCACTGCCCCACCCTTCAATATACCTCACTATTCATTAATCACTAACATAATCACCCCCTCTAGACGGGCCTCACAGGCATTATTGTACGGGCTACACGCCTTCCTGTGACGCCTGCGCTCACGAGCGGAAATAAATACCAACACCAATACCGATATCTTGAGACAGATGTGTTATTTTTTTTAAGCAATAAACTAGGTGGTGTAATTATCTCTGAACGACATGGGAGTTGTATAAAAAATATCCCTATAAAAAGGCAATTATCGAAGTAGTGGGACCAGATGAAATGAACCATTATAAAGCTGATTGCTCTATAATGGCTTATATAATAGGGTAAATGACGCAGAGGCATTAATTTAATTTCATTTCATTTTATTCACCTCAAAGGCATTTGAAGACGCATTACATGAGGGTGGGTTCAAAAATATAAGACAGAAAAGTAATTGAACATAAAAGAATAGGCACCAACAAGTAAAAATCACACAAAAAACACGCTTATTAGCATGTTATTGTTATGATGCAGTTTTACAAATCAAGGTTCACAGTTACACAAATTGATGCACTTGTTCTTGAATGAAATGATATATCTTTCTGTTGCAATATGGTCGGGTAGTTTGTTCCAGTCAGGGATGCAAAGTACTAGGGGAGAAAAGAGGAAACTGTTAGTACGGCACTGAAATGGTTCAATCTTGCAGGAATTATCTAATATGGATTACATAAAATTGGCAGCCCGGCAGTTAGTAGATTGAGAATCGGAATCTGAGTAATATACACAGTGACTTCGGAAGTATTCTCTGAGTGTGTGTGTCGGGGGGGGGGGGGGGGGGGGGGGGAACACACGGACAGCGCAGGGGAGGAAACGGCAGCATTTTTGTATTGCATATTTTTTGTTGAAAGAAAAATGAAAACATGTTATGCTTCCTATATTATATCTGTAAAAATAGTTCATGAAAGGTTACGCACATATTATTCATGAAATATTTTGTTGCCGTGCATCTCTTGCCCTGGTACATTTAGCCTTCGCGGCTACTGGAGCTGATTGCTCTATGATGGCTTATATAATCAGTAATTATGTACACACTTCACCTGGTAATTTTAGAAAATGTGCACGCACACAAGAAGAACACGAAACACCTGAAGTTGAAGTTTCAGCGAATCACATTTATTGCTCCATCAAAGACCGAAAGTTGCTGTTCGCTCAGCAGTCCTGGTAACAAATTCTTAATTTGATCACGTCTTCTAAGCTGAGCGTGGCGGTCCTTTCCTTGTGGACCTGCAAAATGAGAAGGTGTACGTCAGCCTCCATTGCGTCATGCGGTTCCGTAAATAAGGTTTTATTCGTCGTAATGCGCTGAATGAGCGTTCTGTCGAAGCTACAGATGCAGGCACAGAAAAAAGAAGTTGCATGTCTTTTAACGATTTGGTCTAAACAGCTCATGAACTTGTTCAGATTTTGTCTGCAGAGGCTTCGAAGTGCTCTCAATCGATAAATACTCAACACTGGACAAAACAGAAGGAAAAGTAAGAACTGCGCAGAGAGACGGCTTAGATCAAAATCAGCTGCGTGCACGCCTAATGACGCGTTTAGGTCGTCAGCCGAGAATTGTCTTTTTCTGGCGGCGTCAATCAACGTGGCTTCTAATATCACAAGCTGCTCCATGTCAGGCTGATGAAAGCACCACCGCATTTCGCTCGTAAATGCTTGCGGTCGATTGCCTCAAAGTATTCTTTGCACAATGCTGCTTTGGGGTCGAGCGCAACTGGCGGGGGAGACGTGCTGGACATCTCTAACCTCCTCGGCGGCTTTGGCCTTCCCCTGAAAGCCTCTTTCAGACCTAGCTGAGTTGCAACAGCGCTCGTGCGGACCCACAACTCCTGAAACGCGGTTTCAGACCGCAGGCGGGACATTGCCTCGCGGAGAGTCTCTGCATCTTCTTTCACACCTGCAGCACGAAACGTTGAGCGTTGGAGGACCCTTGCTCGTTCCTCACACGGATCGAACAGAGCTGTGGAGATATTTATTCCCAAGAACGTTTCAAACTTTCCCAGGAGTGTTTGATATCCCTTTTCAAAACGGTTTTGCTGTTGTCTGCCTTCGAGCCTGTTTTTTGAAGGATCTCACTCAGTGTCTCTTGGACCCGGGCGTAGTTCTGAGTGAACCTTTTCATCGACTTGTCCACTTTGTCGGGCACAGTGGCAGAAGGCTATTCGGCATCAAGTGTGGCATAATCCGATGGATCCACTTCTGAGGGAAGAACGATCGACGGATAAACACTTTTTGCGCTTTTTTGGTTCAAGAACGACTTTGGAAAGATCTTTTACGGAACGATCAAAGCATCGCCGATGATATCGCAGCTCTTACTATTTTTCTGCAAAACAAGATCTAGGCAATGAATGCTATAATGTACATGCAATGATCTCGGTTCAGAATAACTAATTTTTTTTCTGGACTCCTGAAAAACGGTCGGACATGCATGTTAGCTGCCCCGTCAAAGCAGTGGCCGCGAATGTTGTGGAAATTAAGACCAAGGCGCAAAATCATGATGGCCATGTATACAGCGTGTCAGCCCTGCCATCTGGCGCGTTGTACAGACCTAAATAATTTTCCTGCAAGTTGAGTGCCCTGTCAGTCTCACACACACGCAGATGGCAAACTGCTCTTCACTTGTCACATCAGTTGTTCCGTCAGCTATTATGCCATAGGACGGGCTACAAACCGCCTCTCGAACGATTTCCCGCTGTACCGTGTGGGTCTTGACGTCAATTAACTCATTCTGCACGTCACTGCTAATTCGTTTGTCCCTTTTTTGCCATCCATTTCCTCAATGCTAGGACATCTCCTGACCTATCATCAAGCAAATCGAGTAGATTTCCATCGTATTTAGTGCGTCTAATCAAAGCTTGGCCCGTGCGACACATGGTAGCGGACGGAGCTTACAATGACACGTAGTGACGCCCTGATTTCCTCCTGCTCCTGAGGCTGCTGCTGAGAGAGTAGGGAGGGGAGGGGGGGGGGGGGGGAGCCCCGTAAAGGGAAAACTCCAGGGGAGCTCGAGTCAGTGCAGAGGGGGAAGGTACGTAGTTAACCAGTCTGAGGATAAAAATATTACAAGTACCAAATACACTCAAATCAACAAAAGAAATCAAAAACACAAGACAGAGTCATCACCAGGTGTGAAAGCAAAAAGCAAATACTTAGATATCGTACTGACAAGCATCAACCCTTTAAATGGTCAGCTCTTTTCTTGCAAGAGGAAGTTTCGAACAGCGTTTCCGAACTTGCTCCCGCATGAGTTAAAAATATCAATTGTATTAGAGACGCGGATAACACTCAGCCGATCTTTGGATCGGGTTTAAGTAGCTAAAATGTCAAGCTATATAAAAAGATGATTGAAGCCATGTAGGCACACGTGGAACTCTAAGGCTTACTTCGGACAGGAAGCTGGGAGAGTTAATCAAGCCGTGTACTCCGCCGATTTTTGAGCTACCTCAACTAACTATATTTTCTGACTCCCAGGCCTTTACGCTTTCTGGAATGCTATTTAATATCGTAAAATTCGTAATAGTTATTGCGAAATGGGCAAATGAAAATGATGCAAAAACAGACATTCAAATATACCCGCCCTTTTCAGGGCCGTGACGTCAGTGGAAGTTCAGCTTGCCAGTCGGGCGAGCAGTCTAAAAAATAGAATATGCCAATTATTTGTTCCGTGCTGGAGCGCGGGGACTGGAGCGAGCTTCCAAGGCATTCATTTGACACCATGAAACTGCTTCAAATCAGTTGGGAACAAATTCTACAGTCCAAAGAGTGAACCCCTGCACTTCCAATGACGTCACTTTTTCATTGTTGCCAGTAGAGACTTTCAGTTTGAAAAACACGGTGAGGACCAAAATTGTAAATTCAATAACTTCGTGAAAAAAAATATTTTGACCCAATATTTGGGATACTATTTTGGCGATGCTGTTTGGAGAGTTTAGCAAAATTTCAAGCAAATCGGGGACCATGAAGAAATCGGCGGTTTGCCTTCACTCGACGCT